CTCCACTGTGTTGGATGAGCCTTGGACCCTAGCTCAAGCTAGCGCTGGCTTGGGCTAGTAATAAAGTTCCTTTGCTTTTGCATTATGGTGTGTGGACCTGGTCTCTCCGCAACTGGGGATCTGAAACCTGGGCACAATACTAATTAGTGTTTTTAAAGTCTTACATACTTTGCTAAAAACGCAAATATAATGGAGGATAGAGCAGGTAAGGTTCTTACCCTGCATGCAGCCAACTCAAGTTCTATCCCTGGCACACCGTATCCCATACCCCCCCCCCCCCCTGAATCCTGCCAGAAGCCTTGAGCACTGTAAGCTGTGACCCAAAAACCAAACTAAAAAGTAAATATGACACAGGGGAGATGGCTCAAAGAGCTGGTGAGCAAGCTTTGCATGCTGGAGGCCTGGGTTTAATCCTTGGCACCACACTGACATACAAGGTATGACCCAAACCACACCCACGAATGCAAGTATGTTCCCCTTTTTTTTTTTTACACAGAAAGAGCTTTGTTCTACATTACTGTTCATTAACTTAGTTATCCATATTTCTAAATTTAATCAGTTCACAGTGCCTATAGTATCTCAGTAACTTTCACAGCACTTCTTACGTCAAAAGATCATTTATTTAGCACTTAGATAAACAAGCATTTGTGTCCTGGAAATATGAGGGGGCAAAGTGATAGTACAGAGGGTAGGATGTTTGTCTACACACAACCAACCTGAGTTAGCTCCCTGGTATGGTAGCATCCTGCCAGGAGAAATCCCTGAACACCGCCAGATATGGCAGCCTTCCTCCCTCCAAAAAAGTCATATGAAGACAGAATGCATATAAACAGAGGGGAAAAGGGGGAGGTTAGGGAAGGGGCATGGTTTTGGACCATCCTGGTGGTACTCAAGAATGACCTCTGGTGATGCTCAGGGGACCGTGTGGTGCGGAAAATGAAATCAGGCTCAGCATCAAGCAAAGCAAGCACCTTAACCCTTGTGCTCACTCTCTCTGATGCTGGGGGGGGGAATTTAATACATCAAAATATCTTAAGATTTATTTCCCAAATAACTACAATAATTATGTACGACATCTGTTATGCACTATGACTTCTCAAATCTTGAAATTAGGTAATGAAGTCCCACCTTTTATTTCTTGCTGACTTTAAAAGGTTAAATTCAGGGATAAAGAAAATAACTCAAAAGGGCTGGAGTATACACATGCCTTGCATACTAGAGCATGGGTTTGACTACCACCAGGGCCTCAAAGCACTGCTAGAAATGACCTGAGGGCCAGAGTGATAGTACAGCAGGGAGGATGTCTGCCTTGCACGCAGCCAACCTGGGTTCAATCCCTGGCATCCCATATGGTCCCCCAGCACTGCCAGGAGTAATTCCTAAGTGCAGAGCCAGGAGTTGCCCCTGAGCATAGCTGGGTATGACCCAAAAACCAAAAAAAAAAAAAAAAAAAAAAAGACTCCTGAATACTGAGATGGGACTGATTCCAAGGACCACCAGGTATGGCAATAGAACAAAATACTAAGTTTGTGGTATATTGTGTAGGGTATCAAACCCTGTTCTCTTATAAGACTGCTATGTAAGTATACAAACACACACACACACACACACACACAGGAACACGCAAGGCTCAACCCATAACAACATATTAGTAATCTCTTATAGAAGGGCAAGGACCACCAGGTATGGCACCAGAACAAAATACTAAATTTGTAGTATATTGTGTAGGGTATCAAACCCTTATAAGACTACTGTGTAAGTATACACACCCACACACACATCCATCTATATGAGCACGCAAGGCTCAACCCATAACAACGTATTAGTAATCTCTTACAGAAGGGCTTAATGACTCCTGGGTAAAATACAACAATCCTCACTCTAAGGAAAGTTTTTTGGAGCATTTTCATAACAAACAACACAGAATAAATTATTTCGGTTCTGCTTTGGGGCAGGGGCAGGGGCAGGGGATGGAAACATCCAAAATATGGTGATGGGATGGTATAATGGTGGTGGGATTGGTTTTCGAATATTAAATGTGATCAAATGTTGTGAACTATTTTATAAAAATAAAATAATTTAAAAAATAAAAACTGCTATGTAAGGCATATTAGCCACACCCCTTGGTTTGCACAATGATTTTTTTGGGGGGGTGATGGTGGAGAATAGATTTATTGGAAAGCAACAGGGTAAAAGGGAACAATTTCTTTTCATTTTTGTCATATCCAGCAGTGCTGGGTATGACAAAAACCCGAGACTCCCACATGTCAGGCATGAGTTTAGCCCAAAATTTTTACCTAATTTTTAGCACAGCGGGTAGGGCGTCTGCCTTGCACGCAGCCAACATGGCCGACCCGAGTTCGATTCCTCCGCCCCTCTCAGAGAGCCTGGCAAGCTACCGAGAGTATTCGATATGCCAGACACAGTAACAACAAAGTCTCCAATGGAGACGTTACTGGGCCCGCTCGAACAAATCGATGATCAACGGGAGGGCCTTTACTATCTAGAATTTAGCAACTGCTAAAAACTCCAATTTCACAAAGACATTATGTCATTGAGTGGGATTTGGTGCCATCTACTGTTGAAAGGAAATTACCTAGAATTCATAGTTAGTGCTAGATCATCAAGCTGTGCTTCTGGTCTTTTAAGATTTTCTTTTAGATTTTTTTTTTATGTTTTGCTTTTTGGGTCACTGCTGGAAATGCTCAGGGGCTACTCCTGGCTCTACACTTAGAAATTATCCCTGGCGGTGCTTGGGGGACCATATGGGATGTCAGTGACTGAACCCGGGTCAGTCACGTGCAAGGCAAATGTCCTCTCCCCTGGACTATCACTCTGGCCCTTGAAAATGTAAAACATCTCGATGGGTCTCCTTACTGCTGTGCTTCAACACAAATGGGAACAGGACATCTGCCTTGCACATGGCCAACCCAGGTTTGGTCCCTGGCACCCCTTATGACCACAGTGATCCCTAAGTGCAGAGCTAAGAGTAACCCAGAATACTGCCAGGTATGGCCAAAAATAAAATAAATTTTATAACTTATAAAAGTAAGAGACACAGAGAAAGATCAAAGATGGGACTGGGGAGATAGTTCAACGTGCTAGAGCACAAAGCCTAGCATGCTCATAGCCCTAAATCAAATCACTTGGCACTGCAAGCCCCCACCTTGCACCACCTGGTATAGCCTGATGGCCCCCCCAGCACCATTAGTCCCAAGTAGTAAACCAGTTGACAAGAATTAAGAGGACCGACCGCTAGGTCCCATGAGCACTGCTTGGGAAGTCCAAACTCAAAAGATGGCTTTTAGAAATTGGGGGTCTGATGAGCAAAGAGCTGAATGATGGAGTCATACCCTGCTTCCTGAACTGGGCAAGACTCATCCAATTTGTTATCCAATGTTGTTAACTTTGAACTCACAGGTCATATTCATTAATTCTCCTACACAATTGTATATACATGCCTAATTTTCAATACTTTTACCAGCAAGTGAAAATCAACTGGGGGAAAACATTTTTCTGCTAATTTTTTAGTTGAAATTTGCAGGGGAATGGATTTTTAGGTCACACCTGGTGGTGCTCTGAGGAGTATGCTGATTACCTCTGTAAAATGTATCACTATGCATTTGTCTATTAGATGTGTGCTTTCCTTGTACTATTCTATGTATATTAAGAAATCTATGGGGGCTGGAACTGTAGTACAGCAGGTAGGGTGTTTGTCTTGCATGCAGCTGACTTGGGTTTGATCCCCAGCATCCCATATGGTCCCCCAAGCACCCCCAGGAGTAATTCCTGAGTGCAGTGCTTGGAGTAATCCCTGTGCATTGCCGATCGCCGGGTGTGAACCAAAAAGCAAAAAAAAAAAAAAGGAAGAAATCTATGGAGTCAGAAGGATAGTGACAGGGGTTAAGACACTTGCCTTGCAAACAACTGACAATGGTTGAAAACCTGGGGCCACATACTGTCCGCCAAGTAATCCCAGGAGTAATCTCTGAGCACCGCTGAATATGTGCCTCCCCCCCCAAAAAAAAAAACTAAAAATGATGAAATACAGCACAGGGGCACTTGATTTGAACCCTGTTGACCCCAGCACCTCATACTGTCAAGTGACCTCTGGGCACTCTTGGATGTGACACCAACCATGCAAAGGATTGAGTTTTCAGAAAATGTTACCTCAGACCGGCCTTCTCAGGTCCTACCACCACCTCATCTGAAGTAACCTGACCTCAATGATTCTGTCAAATCACCCCCAACTTGTTGGTGACACTATGTTGTTCCTTTATTTGTACCTTCACGGTGTCTCCCCTAGTCTTCCCATAGAAAGGGGTTTACAAAGCAAAATCCTGTTTTATTTTGGTTGTTTTGATAGGGCAAAACCTGGGGGAGATGCAGTGCCTGAATGGAGCTCGAGCTCCCAAACTGGCCATGTGCTCTACCGCTTGAGATTCCTGGCCAGTCCGTCTCCGTCTTCAACTCCACATCTCCGGAGTCAGTTGTTTACCCCATAGTCACATCTCCGGAGTCAGTTGTTTACCCCATAGTAGGCGCTCAGTTAATACTTGTGTAAGAGGGGGCTGGAAGAGTGCAGGAGTAGCCAAGACACAGCAGCAGGAATAGCCATGAGCACTGACCGTTGTGGTCTCGCTAACTCCCATCCCGCAAAAAAACAGGTTTTTTTAAATGAAAATTGTCTGTGAGTAAGGGGCAAACTGGAGGGCCCTGTTTCTCGTCCAAACTTAAGAGTTCCCTAGGATTCATTCGTGCGATGTCGGTTAATGCTAATTCTGTGACCTGGAACCGGCAGCCCCTTCAGTCCTGTTTCTCCCCATCCAAACACAGCACTACGCTCACTCATACCCTAGCAAAACTGAACTTGGGGCCCCTCCCCGCCCCCCCGCCCCCCCGGCCCGACACTGGGACGCGCCGAGCAGCACCGCGTTTCCGGAGACCCGGCCGAGCCCCGCCCCGGGCGGCGGGCGCAGCCGAGCGCTCGAGCGGCTTACCAGTTCGTCCGGACTGAGCACTCCAAACTGCACTCTCTTGATGGTGCGCAGCGGGCATGCGCTGTCCCCGGAGGGGGGGCCTCCTCCGTGCATCGCGGAGGCCGACGCGCTGCGCAGGCGCAAACCCCACTACAAAAAGCCTGCGCCGCCTCCACCTAGGCGCTCAGACCCCGTTGGGGCGGCCACCGGGAAAGACCTCCCAGAGAAGGGAGGAAAAAACCCGGTGGAGGGAAGGGTGGGGGAGGGAAGGAGGCGGGGAAACGAAAAAGAGCGAAAGGCGCTCTCCTCTCCGGTTCCGGAGGTATTTTTCGGCCCCCAAAAGGAAAAAAAGGGGGGGAGGGAAAGGAAAGGGTTCTGGGGGGAAGGAAGAAGAAAAGGGGTAACGAATAAATAAATAACCGGGTCCTGAACGGCAGAGGTTAGCAGTGTGTCTCTCCCCCTCCCGGGAGCAGCCTCCTTCTCCAACCGTCCCGGCCGCGCTCTCGGCGCTTCTGAGGAGCGAACCGACCGAATGACGACCTTTATAGACTCGCCCCGCTTCCCCGCCCCTTCCTTTCCCGCCCTCCCTTGCGCTACGGGGCCGACTGCACTGGCCTGCACGGGGCGCGCGCCGGAGAGCTTGGGGCCTCCCCCGCTCTCTGGTTGGGCGACCTTTGAAATGCCGGGGGGGGGAGAGCTCTTCGATATCTCGTCGCCTGCCCTCGCTGCTCCCTCCCGCACTGAAGCTCAAGGCTTGAAGATTTGAGGGCAAATACAGGCCGCTTTTATTCAGTTTGGAATGTGGTTTCATGTTCAACAAGTCTCTCAGTATTTCCGTTTCCCCCCTCTGGAAAATAGTCTGTTCTGAGAATCCGTAACGGGAGGCGGGGCCGATCGGGTCATCCCAAGTAGGTTCCGGGAGGGGGCGTGCCGGGGCCGTCCTTCATCATGAATATGCAGTAGCTCGCTGAATATGCATGAGCAGATCAAAATGGCTTGATATTTGCCGCGCGGCCTCCAGGGACAGGGAGACGTCGCCTGGCCTCGAGTGGAGCGCTGTGCGGAGCTCTGGTTCTGGATCCCCGTTCTCGGCACTCGCAGAAGCGTCAGCTCGGGACCCTGCTCCGGAAGGAGGCTGGCTACTATCCGGGAGAGATCACGGGACCGCGACAAACCGGGAAAAGGAGATCAGCCTTGGGGCGGGACATAGGTCCTGAGGGATTCACGGCCGAGGCATTTGAAGATTAAGAAACCCTCCCCCTTCTGGAATATTTAAGAAATAAGATGAGGGTGGGGACGGGGATCCCAAGGGATTCTCCAATCGGAGTGGTGCAGGACTTCCACTCTCCTTCCAAAGCAGAGCTAACTGCACAGGCACTTTCAGAGCGATCCCTGTTTGATGTCAATGTCACGTCACCATTCGAGAGGGGGAGGGGGAAGTACAACCACGAGGAGGAAGGGGAGGAAAGGAAACCGCTGGTGGGAGGGGAAAAAAAAGGAATATTCCCTTCCCCCAGTGCAGCTGCTTGATCTGCCTGAAAGTCCCAGTGCTCTCCCTACTGCTTAGGGAAAATCCTCCCCCTAGATCTTAGCTGCCCTGCCTTGCCTCAGCCCTGTGTCTGTTCCTTACCCTTCTCGTTTGCCCTCATTCCCAAGCCCGGCCTGGACTTCACATCTCTTGGTTCCCAGGCTTGTTCCAGGTCTTCCAGGCACTCCTCTCCCCACCAGTTCTTTTCTGGTCACTTGTTCTCTCATGTTTGTATTCCAGACTCCCATTTTACCCCTGCCCCCCCAACCCCCAGGCTCTCAGATAGTCTCTCACTCCTCCACCTGCCCTTCCCTCTCACAGCTGAGGTTCTGGGCCGTGATGATGGCAATGCTGCCCAATACAACCCCCGCGCCCATGATGTCAGAAGGTGCCACGGTCTCATAGAGCACATAATACTGCAGCATCAGAGCCACCACCACTTCTGAGTGCAAGACGGCACACACCAGGGCAGGGTGGGCCTTGGTCACCGCATAGCTCACGCACACAAAGGAGACCAGAGCGAGTATCCCTACCGCCCCGACACAGCTCCAAGTCAGAGGGTCATAGGGCAACACGGGGGTCTGCAACATAAATAGGCCCGGCACCGAGCCCGCCAGTCCTACCAAGCCAAACAGAAAGGCCACTGTTGGCAGGCAAGATGGAAAGTTCAGCGAGCGATATACCAGAAGTCCTAGGGACAGTGCCAGGCCACCCAGAAAAGCGAGCACATAACCCAGGGCAGTGTAGAGGCCTGTGGTCCCCTCCTGTAGCGTCCCTAGTCCAGGTCCCACAATGATGATTAATCCCAGAGTACTGCCCAGTAGGCCACACCAGTCATAGCCGCTGAGCCCCTGACTCTCCAGGCAGAGAGCAAGAAGAGCAGAGCAGACCGTGGAAGAACCTTTGCGGACGGTGGCAGCATTGCCAGCAGGTACCACCTGCACCGCACTGTAGGCACATCCAATGCTGAGCACGTTGAGTAGGGCGTGGAGGAAGGCCCGGCCCCGGGCTTCGGGAGGTCCCAGCAGTGGGTCACCACGTAGTTGAAGTATCAGGGCAATGGGAAGGTGGAAGAGGCATCGGCAGATGAGCAGCTCCAGCGAGGGTAAGTGAGAGGCCTGGTAAGCCATACGGGAGAAGGGGCCCACAAAGCCAGCAGGCAGACCCCCACCCAGCAGTGCCACTAGCAGGCCCTTGGTGGCATCAGAGGGCCAGCAGCGCTGGTTTGAGGGGAGGCTGGGCGGAGTGGAGGGCGGTGATGGTTGGGTGAAGTCAGGCAGGTTGAAGTAGGGATGGCTGCTAGCCTGTTCAGGAGAAAAGAGCTCAGACATTAGGGCAACCATGACCCGGGGAACCTGGGGTAGAACAAATGTCAGGCTGGGATCTGGGACCCTGTGGAAGTGGGAGGGAGGTAGCTTCTCATTTCCCCACTCCTCACCCCAGAGACAGGCTCTCTTGCTGAGGAAGTATTGGGAATTAGAAAGGCCACGAAAGCATGAAAATTGGTAGTGTAGGCCCTGAGCCTCTGAAGCAGGAGCCTCTGAGTCAGGAACAGAGAGCGGTGTCAGTGTTGTGCTGTTCTTTCCAGGAGGGGAAAAGAGGACCCAAGGATGCTATGTTGGTTTGAGCAAAGGGGAGGCAGCCTTAGATGTTTGTGCGATGTCACAGGTCCCAGGGACATCTGGATACACCAGTATGAATTTCATTGGTGGGTGTCTCAAGGACAGCTGGGAAGTTTCAGGGAAGGAGGGGAAAAGGAGCAGCCACAGGGACGGGGCTAAACCAATTCGGCCCCACACTCACCATCTCTCCTTGGACTTTCTCCTCTCCTCCTGGCTCAGGGGGCCTGGGCCCTCAGAGCTCCAGCCATTGTGACCTGTTTGGAGTGGAGGAGCGGGTTCTTTTCCTGGAACCTTCCTGGGGGCGGGGGTGGGGAGGGCAGTTTTATATACGTCTCCATGACTCCCAAGTTTGCCTGATTCTTTTCCTCTTCGCAGGAATATCTCTGTGATGAGACTTCTTGGACTTTAAACTTGTTTAAGTGCCCTGCCTTATTTCAGAAAGATTTTAAAGTAACCATTGAGGGTCACTACCTTCCTCTACTGAGTTTTGAATTTTTGAACACCAGGGACTGTCCCTCTGGAGTTTCAGGGTGATCTTCCTCCGTTTTTTTTTTTGTTGTTGTTGGTGGTGGTGGTGCCGCCCTAGGTACCCACGGCAGCATTTACATACACGTATATAGATGTAGATATTTTTGCCGGCGGCGACAAAAATACTAGGCCATGTTCTGGGTGCTGGTAGTCATTTGAGTGTGCCTGTCCTCGGACCCAAACCTTCCCGCCCATGCCCTAGTTGGGGGTCGCTTTGCATTTCTGAGGAAAGTGCGCGCGTCGAATGTCCAGGCGAGCCTGTGGGCACCGGTGTCGAGCAGGGCTTTGGGGGCCCCGCTGGGCCCGAGTGGGGGAGCCTGCCATGTTGTGTGTGCTGTGAGCGTGCGTGCTCAGCGGCTTGTGTGCACCGCCAAGTGAAGGGCACGCAGGGGGCGGGGAAGGGGGGGTTGTCCCTTCCTAGGAAATGGGTGGTCGCGTGGTCCTGCAGGGGGGCTGCACTCAAACCCGCGCCCCGCTCGGTGTCCGCCCGCCCGGCGCTGCGCCCCCGGGTTCCCGGGTCCGTCCGCGCGACGGGCTTGGGTCGCGCCGGCCCGGTCGGCGGCGGCTGCGCGGCGCCGGCCTCGCCTCGGCGGCGGCGGCGCTGGGGGGGGACTGTTTCCGGGGGTGGGGGTGGGGGTAGGACCGGGGCGGGGGGAGCCGATGATGTCAGCGGCGGCGGCGGCGGCGGCGGCGGCGGCGGGGCCGGGCCGGGGCCGGGCGCTGGGGGGGCCGGGGCCGGAGCCGGAGCCGGAGCTGGAGGCGGGCGAAATCCGAGCGGCCGGGGGCGGCCACAGTGATGAGCCGGGCCTGGCGGACGCGGCGCCATCGCAGTCAGGTGGGCCCCAGGGCGAACCGGGCAGGGCTAGGGCGGACCGGAGCAAACAGCCGGGCCCCCTCCCCGCTGCCCGGCGCCGCGGGGGCCCGGGCCGCGCCCCGCGCCGGGGCCTCTCCACTTTGGAGTCGACCTGGGGGCTCAGGGGTCGAGAATTCAGGCCGGCCCCGCCCCCGGCGCGCTGGGCGCTGGGGGCGACCGAGTGGGCCCGGGCGGCGCGTCCGACTGAGCGGCGGCGCGGGGCGGGCGGGGGCCGATCGCCTGGGGCCGCGAAGGGGCGGCGCGCACTTTCCCTCCGAGGGGTCAGTTCCGCAGCCTGATGACCCCCTTCCCCCCGGGGGCAGGTCCGGGCTGGGGTGGGGCGGTGTGAGCCCGGGGCGGCCGTGCGAAGCTGCTCCGAGGGCGATGGCGTAGGAACCAGACGGGGGGGAGGGGCGGGCCGCCGAGCGCCCAGAGTTGGGGTGTGCAGGGTGCGCGGGGCTGGCTGGGACCCTGGACCTGCGCGCCGTCGGGGCTGGGCTGTGGCTGAGTTCTGGAGCCTCTGTGTGCCTGCCGTTAGGGGCAAGGTAAAGCTCTCCCGGGCACCCTGTTGGGCTCTGGCAGCCAGAGGCACTAAGGGCTTTCCCTGGCCTTGGGGACAGAAAGCCAGATGGAGGGCCGGGTGTCGCGGGAGGAATAACAAGGTACGACCCTGTGGTTTGGAGTGACAGGTCCTAGTTCAAAACAAGGAATATACTCGGGATTTGTTAGGTGAGAGGGTTTATGTGTTTTTTTCCAGCATGCGTCCATGTATGTGTCTTGGGTTGCACGTATGAACTATTTAGGAACTTGTTTCCTGCGTAGCTGGTCTGCTTGTCGTGTTGTGGAGGCACCAGAATGCAGGGGCCACTTGTGTCCCCGGATGGGCCGAAAGGGGCTGTGCTTGAGTCCCATTTCTGCCGCCCCGCCGAGGTGTGGTTTACTCCCGGGGTGGACAGGCAACCGGATGGATTTGCGTGTGAGAAGCTGGTCACCAGTGGGGGTGGGGTTGCCCGTCTAGAGCTCGGGCCTGCGGATCAAGTGCGAACCGGAAGGAAACCCCAAGGGGTCGCAGGCGCTTGAGGGGCAGCCAGGGGCTTCCGGTGGAATGCACAGCGACCTGTGCGCGGGAGATCCCGGGCGTGGACGGAGGGGGAGGTGACTTGTTTGTAACGTCCTCCACCAGATTCTTCCGTGGCGTTGTTTGTGGGAGCCTGTTCGCACTGCTGGGCCGGGAGGGGAGCTGCTCGGGAAACACTTGTAGGGCGGGAGGCGGCATGACAGGGGCAGCGTGGGCCTCGGACCCGACGGACCAGCCGCAAGCTGCGTGCGCCGTCTGTGTTGGAGGGCCCTCGGGGGCTGCGGGGAAGGGAGGACGCGTTCGGAAGGAGGCAGGCAGGAGAAATGTGGGGCAGAGCACCAGGCTGTACCCCCTGGGTGCTGCCTGCTGCCCGGCTCTGTGCTCGCCCCCACTGGCCCTCCCAGCATGTCAGGGTCACTGGGAAGAGAGGCCTGGCAGCTGGAAGGAAACTAAGCTGGGACAGAGTGACTCCCCGGCCATGTTTACGTGGAGGACGGGTGAGATTCTTGTCACTGCGACGGAAAAAAGAAACATGAAGTTTTTAGTCTCCTCTTGCTGCATAGCTTGAGCCCCTGAGGTAGCTCTGCTCTCCTGTACCTTCTGTGACACACATAAACTGGGCCACCCCCACAACTGAGAAGCGTCTAGAAAGGGAATGGAATTTGCTCATAAGGCAGATTCCTCAGAACAGGTTTTCCTCACCTTTGGGGCCTGGTGTGTGTGTGTGTTTGGTGTGCAATATGTGTGTTTATGTGGTATTTTCCAGGTGTGCCTGAAACTGTGTGGGGGAACTGTGTATATGCATGTGTGTGTTCAGGTGTGCACACAGCTGAGACAGGCTGGATATGCATGGAGGTTAGGGCTGAGGGTGCTGGCTGCTGTGTGAGGCCCAACAGGTGCACCGCATGGCTCCGTAGAAAGTAAAAAGTTCTAGGCTAGAACTGAACAGTTATGGCCCACTTCCTTCTGGCATTGTCCCTAAGTAAGCCTAGTTTTCATCTGTAAGATGGGCCCAGTTACTTGCCAGGCCTACCTATCGGCAGGGTTGTAAATAAGTAGTTTATGGGAAATGTACCAGGAAAGTACCTGTAGGTCTGGTTTGGTTTGATTTGGCTTTGGGGAGGGGGTTACTCTTTCTTTGTGTTTGGTTTGTTTTGGTTTGGTTTTGGGCAGTATTCAGCAACGTTCAAGGGTTACTCCTGGCTCTGTACTCAGGAGTCATTCACTCCTGATGGTACTCAGGCAACCATATAGAATGCTGGGGATCATACCTGTGTCGGCCATGTGTAATGCAAGAGCCCTGCCTCCTGTATTATCGCTCTGGTGCTTTATTATTGCTCTTGGCTATATGCTATGGGATCAACCCTGGCAGTGCTCTGTGACCATATGCAGAGTCAGGGATTGAAATGAGGGTGGCTGCGTGCAAGGCATGTGCTGTAACCTCTGTACTCTCATTCCAGCACTGCAGTTTGGAGGTTATGTCTGTGCCTGCCACTGTCAGCCTTCTTCCAGCACTGAGCCTCTTACTGGGATTTGGCTAATAATAATAGCAGTAAACAATTTAGCACTTACTGTGTGTCAGGCACTATTGTACACATGGTCAGTCATTCAGCCTTTGTAAGACCCCACGGAAGTGAATGTTCTTATTACGTATCTTTTTCAATGAGATAACTGAGGCTCATAGAAGAATTCGCCCAAAGCCACTTAGCTAGTTAGAAGTAAAACTAAATTTGAACCCCAGAAGTGGGCCTCTGTGCACACAAACGCACACACGCATACACACACACCACACTTCTTCCCAGTTTCTGCATAATTTAGTACCTGTACAAATCCATTTTAGAAAACTAGTGTGGTTAGACAGTGACTCAGAGCTTCCCAGCCTAGGGACAGAGAACTTAATATCTTTCTCTAGATACTGGCCGAATGGTTGCAGAATGTTAATGAGCCAGGGAAAGGAGAGCTTGTCCTTGTCCTTTAGATCAGGGAGGGCCAAGAAGAAGGTGGCATGTGTATTAGATCGGAGCGGGAGAATAAGCATGAATATGTTGCAATTGGAGGACACAATGGCTGCTTGGACAAAAACTAAACACAGACAAGATTAGAGAGGAAGATTGTACTAGGCCAAAGCCCTTGAATGCCTGTCTGAGGAATTTGAACTTTATTCTGGAATAAGTGAGGACCTATGAAGGTTTTAGAGCCCAACAAGGATCCTACCTGAGGAAGGTAAACCAAAGACAGGGGAATAAGCTGGGAGGCCACTGTCATGAGCATGAAAGTGTGAACCGTGGCCCGAGCTAATTTGGAGGCCAGACGCGGGTTCAAGGCTTTCAGAGCCATTCCCAAGCCAGACCTCTTAAGGGCTAGATTTGTGACCACTGGATGCGGGGAGTGAAAGATAGACAGGAAACAGCACTCAGCACATGAGACCTGTGTCGTCATTTCTGTAACATGCTGGATGGCCGTAGACCCTTCAGGACAGTATACATGGAGAAAGAATAATACCTGGCTTCACATTTGATTTTTTTTTGGAGGGGGGGGATGAGGTAGGCTACTCCCTGCAGTGATAAGGGCTTATTTCCTGCTCTGTGCTCAGAGAACACTCCTGGGGACCATTTGTGGTACCAGGGATCAAATTGGGTCAGCCATATGCAAGGCAATTGTGTTAACCCCTGCACTTTCTCTTCAGTTCTTGCATTTGAATTTGGGGGTGGGGGGTGGACAGAGGCAGGTACAATGCTCAGGGCGTACTCCTGGCTCTGCTCAAGGATCGTTCCAGGCAGTGCTCAGGAGACCATATTTAGTGGGGGATGGAACTCAGGTTGGCCACTTGGAGGGCAAGTCTCTTACCCATTGTACTATCTTGCTGACCCCTGTATTTGAATTTTGACTGTGCTGTTCACAAGCTTTGTGACCATGAGCAAAGGATATCCCTCTTGTATACCTCAATTTTATCAACTATAAAATTGTGCTAATAGGGGGCTGAAGCGATAGCACAGCGGGTAGGGCATTTGCCTTGCACGCAGCTGACCCGGGTTCGATTCCCAGCATCCCATATGGTCCCTCAAGCACCGCCAGGAGTAATTCCTGAGTACACGAGCCAGGAGTAACCCCTGTGCAACGTTGGGTGTGACCCAAAAAGCAAAAAAAAAAAATGTGCTAATAGAAGTACTTTGACTATTTTCAGGAAATCTTTAAATGAGGTAGTATACATAAAGCCTTTGAAAGTGTTTCAGAGGGGCTGGAGCGATAGCACAGCAGGTAGAGCGTTTGCCTTGCACGCGGCAGACCTGGGTTCGATTCCCAGCATCCCATATGGTCCCACCAGGAGTAATTCCTGAGTGCATAAGCCAGGAGTGACCCCTGTGCATTGCCGGGTGTGACGGGGGGAAAAAAAAGACTGAAAGTGTTTCAGATAATGTATGGGTGTCCCAGAAGTGGCTGTTATCCCCAGATATATATTTGCAGTTCCTAACCAGCTCAGTACAACACCCAAAATGGTTTCCTTCCTGAGCTGAGACAGTTTTCAGGTAGGTTGGTTTGGTTTTTTTGTGTGGAGCCAGGGATCGAATCCATATGCCAGACAGATACTCTACCACTGAGCTACCCACCCCACCCCCACCCCAAGCTGATCCTGAGAAACTCCAACAGGCCTTTCCGAGAGTAGTGGTCGTCCACATACAACCACAGAGCCCCTCGGCTGTGCGGGTAGCAGACCTGCCAAGGGGGTTAATGGCACTAGATTCAAACTTTTGCTTTGTTCACCTGTCAGGGCTGCAAACTCCTTAAGGCGGGGAGAGAGGGTTCTAGTTACTCCTCTTTTTCTTTTTTTTTTTTTCCTGAACCAGACCCAGTGGTACTCACCATCTGCTCGTGACTCTGTGCTTGGGATAAAGCCGGGTTGCGC